GTAGGAGAGCAGCCAAACTTTTTGCCTTTCCACACACCATCTTTTATGGGGGGGCACAGGTCAAGCGCCCCTCTCCATGTGTATATCTATATTGAGAACTGAGCATTGTAGAGGTAACCTGGGGCATTTGAACAAGGCTGAAACACAGCCCTCTATTAAAGGCTTTACTCTGGTTGAACAATCCCCTACCAGGACTATCCCTGAATTTGATAGAATTCATAAGGAAATTAATAAAATAACAATCTAATGGCCATCATTCGGGGGAACATTATAGTCTTTTAAGCCATCCTTACAACTTTGTGAGGAAACCTATAAGCAACAATCCTGAAGAGCTCTTATACTTAACCTGCAAATCCACGTCCTCAAAAGCAATAGATCCAAATATTCATTGAGGCTGTCCTTTTGACTTTTTTTTTTACTTGGCAGAATTATCAGTTCCAAGCCACTTTACAACAGCAGATCATGCTCATCTTCCAGGAACTATCATCCAACCCTCCTGCCCCCGGATTCCTTGCAGTCTTCACAGGCCTCTCACAACTCAAACCTACCACTGCATGAGCAGTGAAGCCTGAGATCCACCCTCTCTGGGATGACCTCACCACATTCAAAGTCATTGTTATCACCTTGAATGAAGGAAGTGGCAATTTAAGCCTCCCGTACAGCTCCGGCTCGAGAGCTACTGATAGAGGGACAGTGGCCGCAGAAGTACGGCGAGGTATGAGTGCCTGTGATCAGTCCAGTAGTGGGTGTGCCAGAAGTAGCAGAAAGATCACATAGAGCTGGATGGATGGATCGCTGGGGTGTGCAAGATGGAGCAAGGTGGAGGATGCGAGGTCAGAAGATCTGAGTTGGTAGCAGTCGGCAGATCTGCTTAGATGGCAGGAGGTAGAGTATCAGGTACAAAGCCCAGGTCAGCAGCAGAGGATCAATCAGACAAGAGCAGGAGACAGAAGAGTAATCCAAAGCAAAGCCAGAGGTCAGGGCAGGTAGCGTACAAGCCAGGAGCAAATTGGTTCAGTATCATGAATCAAGCACAAGGAAATCAGGATACACATGCAGAGGCTAAGATCAAATGGCAAGGAGACATTAACTGCAGCCAGTTTAAATAGTCCTTTTGGCGCCTGGATGCGAGAGTTTGGCATATCTGTCTGCCTGGATGCCCAAGTACGTGCATATCTGTTCCTGTCCATCATTGTTTCTGCGCATGCGCATATTTGTGCGCCACGAGTCTACACCTGTGTAATGGGCAAGCCTTTCCTGACACCATTCTAGCATTTAGATGCTGAGCATGTGGATGGGTGGGGACAGAAATTTTTTTTTATGGTTCAGCAACTGAGGTAGCAAAATGTGCCTGGTGAATTCAATAGGTGGTTTACTGCAAGCAGATTTGGTGCAAGGACCTGTGGCACCCCGTTGCTATACCATCATCCCTCTAAGAAGAGGCTGTTGAGATGGATTGAGGTAAAGTAAGGATAGAAATCCCAGATTGAGGAGCAAGGAAGTCTGAAAGTCTGCACTCTCTTATGATATAGGTCTTTCAGGTGCTGTTACCAACGGGCTGCGTGGCAGGTCGTCATATGTCTTGTCAAACATGTGGTGCCCAAACGCCTGGTGTTTTGGCCACACTTGATCCCCTTCAGACAGGAGACTGCAAACAGCAACGCTGCGGTCTGCTGCACATGTGTTGAAAAAAAGTCCACACCAATGAACTTTTGGAATCAGTGGGGAGTCAGCAGTGCACTGCACCTGTGGAGCTCTGTTGTGTGATGCAATAGGGTGGCTGCCCTTACTCCTGCCCCTGGAGGACATCCTGCCTTGTTGGAGTTGTGCCTCCTCCTCACTTTCCACCTCTATTCTCTCAGGTATCCAAGTACAGTCAGTGACCTCATCATCCCCTCCCTCCTCGTCACCAAACTTGGCACTATTCTGCAACTGGGGCAACATGACTGCCAATTTCTTGTCCGTCATTGGCACCCCCCCTCCCTCTAGGCTCATGTCACTCCTTCCTCAACCTGGGAACCAGCATTGGGAGCATTGAAATTTGCTGCGCTTCCTCAAGAGCAGCATGTGACTGACACTACAGTGAAGGAAATAAGTATTTGATCCCCTGCTGATTTTGAATGTTTGCCCACTCAGAAAGAAATGATCAGTCTAAAAAATGAATGGTAGATGTATTGTAACACTGAGAGACAGAATAGCAACAAAAAATTCACAAGAAATTCATGTTTAACAAATAGTGCACTGATTTGCATGTTCATGAGGGAAATAAATATTTGATCCCCTATCATTCAGCAGGATTTCTGCTACCAGGTGTCTTTTGTACAGGTAATAAAGCTGAGATTAGAAGCAGTCTCTTAAAGGGAGTGCTGCTAATCTCATTTTGTTTACCTGTATAAAAGACACCTGTCCACAGGAGCAATCAAACAATCAGATTCCAAACTCTCCACCATGGCAAAGACCAAAGAGCTGTCCAAGGATGTCAGGGACAAGATTGTAGATCTACACAAGGCTGGACTGGGCTACCAAACTATTGCCAAGCAGCTTGGTGAGAAGGTGACAACAGTTGGTGCAATCATTCGCAAATGGAAGAACACAAAACAGCTGTCAGTCTCCCTAGGTCTGGTGCACCATGCACCTCGTGGAGTGTCTATGATCATGAGAACAGTTAGGAATCATCCAGAACTACACGTGAGGATCTTGTCAATGATCTTCAGGCAGCTGGGACCACAGTCACCAAGAAAACAATTGGTGACACACTACGCCGACAAGGATTGAAATCCTGCAGTGCCGCAAGGTCCTTCTGCTCAAGAAAGCACATGTCCAGGCCAGTCTGAAGTTTTCCACTGTCAGTGTCCTGTCCACAGCAGAAGTTCTGGAAGATCTGGCATTTCTGCCAGTACCCTGCATGGCCGCAGAAGCACACATCAGCCTCAGTTTGCTGCCAGATGGCCTTTATAAGGAGGCTCATCACTTCCTCAAGTTGCTGGATGATCTCTAGCTCCCCATGCCTTGTTCCTGTTTCCTGTGACCTGTGACTTCCTGATACCGCCTTGGCTTGCTCTTGGACCTGTCTACTCTACTTAACCCCTGATCTGACCTCGGCTTGGTTAAAGGATACTCTCTCTCTCTATCCTCTGTGTATGACCTCGGCTTGGCTAAAGGATACTCTCTCTCTCTCGCTCCTCTGTGTATGACCTTGGCTATCCCATCTGACTTCGTCTGCTCTGATTCCCACCTGGTACCTGACCTTGGTTTGAACCAGCTATGCAGTAAATCTCTAAATCCTGGAACGGCTTGCATACCTCGCACAGGCGCCACCTGTCTGCAGACCTATCTCCATGTATCAGCTGTGCTTCTGGGTGAACCACCAATCAGCACTCCTACAGGCGACCTGTGCCACTTTGGGCCTGACTCCCGCTGTCCCACTCTCAGGGGAGTCTGGAACTTAGCCACAAGGGATATCCTCTCTCCATTGGCCTCCATCACCAGGTACGTGATAGCCACTGAACATCTGAATGATGCAGAGGAGGACTGGTTGAAAGTGTTGTGGTCAGATGAGACCAAAATTGAGCTCTTTAGCATCAACTCAACTCGCTGTGTTTCGAGGAGGAGGAATGCTGCTTATGACCCCAAGAACACCATCTCAACTGTCAAACATGGTGGTGGAAACATTCTGCTTTGGGGTGTTTTTCTGTTAAGGGGACAGGACAACTGCACTTCATCAAAGGGACGATGGATGGGGCAATGTACCGTCAAATCTTGGGTGAGAACCTTCTTCCCTCAGCCAGGGCATTGAAAATGGGTCGTGGATGGGTGTTCCAGCATGAGAATGACCCAAAAGACATAGCCAAGGCAACAAAGGAGTGGCTCAAGAAGAAGCACATTAAGATCCTGGAGTGGCCTAGCCAGTCTCCAGACTGTAATCAGATTGAAAATCTGTAGAGGGAGATGAAAGTTCGAGTTGTCAGACATCAGCAACCAAACCTTAATGACTTGCAGAGGATCTGCTAAGAGAAGTGGGCCAAAATCCCTCCTGAGATGTGTGCAAACCTGGTGGCCAGCTACAGGAAACGTCTGACCTCTGTGATTGCCAACAAGGGATTTGCCACCAAGTACTAAGTCATGTTTTGTGAAGGGGATCAAATACTTATTTCCCTCATGAACATGCAAATAAGTGCAGAATTTGTTAGACATACATTTCTTTTGAATTTTTTGTTGCTATTCTGTCTCTCAGTGTTACTGTCAGGGCTCCCAGGTGTGACCAGAGGTGTGTGGCTGACGCAGGGAAACGCAGACCTCAGATATGTTATAAACAATATAATTTATTAACACTAACAATACAAACATAAACGCAGTGCAATACTAAAACATAATACAGTGCAACCAAACCAAACCAAACCAACCACCCACAGATAACAGTACATACAAGCAAGCGTCGTCAGGCAGGCCGGGTCAATATCAATAGGGCAGGTAGGTACAGGGGGAGCAAGCGGAGATTGGTCGGGGTCACAGGCCAGGTTCAGCAGGTAGCAAGCAGCGTAGTACAGAGGGTAAGGCAGAGGGATGGTCAGGGTCACAAGCCAGGGATCAGAACAGGTAGCAAGCAGCGTAGTACAGAGGGTCAGGCAGAGGGATGGTCAGACAAGCCAGGGATCAGAGCAGGGTCAGCAGAGAATCAGACAGGAACAGAGAGCAGGAACAGGATACAGGGCCCAAGAGAACACAACACCAAGGCAGAGTCTGCAAGTCTGGCCATCCCTTAAATACCCCAGCATAATCAGTTCCAGGTGTTAGCTGGCTGCAAAGTTGAGTCTCTGATTGCTGGGAGCACCCGCTGGCCAGCCCTGGTACTGCAGATCAAAAGGCAGGTGTGAGTCCCACCATTGCTGGCTAGTCCATTCCTGACAGTACCCCCCCCTCAAGGAGCGGCCTCAGGACGCTCCAAACAGTCCTAGCTGGGCAAAATGTTCCACCGCCCGGGTCTGGTAACTGGCGGGATATCAAAGACTGGCACACGGGCAGGACTCCGGGCAGCGGCACACCGGGCAGGGGCACACCGGGCAGAGGCACATTGGGCAAAGGCACACCGGGCAGAGGCACATTGGGCAAAGGCACACCGGGCAGAGGCACATCGGGCAGGGCAAAGGCACACCGGGCAGAGGCACATCGGGCTGGACTCCGGGCAGAGGCTCCGGGCAGAGGCACATCGGGCTGGACTCCGGGCAGAGGCACATCGGGCTGGACTCCGGGCAGAGGCACATCGGATTACCAGGCGAAGCGGCAGGCAGCGGGCCACCGGGCGGGGCGGCAGGCACCGGGCCCCCGGGCGGGGGGCGGCAGGCACCGGGCCCCCGGGCGGGGCGACAGGCACCGGGCCCCCGGGCGGGGCGACAGGCACCGGGCCCTCAGGCGGAGCGGCGGGCGCGCCGGGCCCCCAGGCGGAGCGACAGGTCTCGGGCCCCCAGGCGGAGCGACAGGTCTCGGGCCCCCAGGCGGAGCGACAGGTCTCGGGCCCCCAGGCGGTGCGACAGGTCTCGGGCCCCCAGGCGGAGCGACAGGTCTCGGGCCCCCAGGCGGAGCGACAGGTCTCTCGGGCCCCCAGGCGGAGCGACAGGTCTCGGGCCCCCAGGCGGAGCGGCGGGCGCCGGACCCCCAGGTGGAGCGACAGGTCTCGGGCCCTCAGGCGGAGCGACAGGTCTCGGGCCCCCAGGCGGAGCGACAGGTCTCGGGCCCCCAGGCGGAGCGGCGGGCGCCGGACCCCCAGGTGGAGCGACAGGTCTCGGGCCCCCAGGCGGAGCGACAGGTCTCGGGCCCTCAGGCGGAGCGGCGGACGCCGGACCCCCAGATGGAGCGACAGGTCTCGGGCCCCCAGGCGGAGCGACAGGTCTCGGGCCCTCAGGCGGAGCGGCGGGCGCCGGACCCCCAGATGGAGCGACAGGTCTCGGGCCCTCAGGAGGAGCAACAGGTCTCGGGCCCCCAGGCGAAGCGGCGGGCACCGAGTCACCAGGCACGACAGTGGGCACCGAGTCGTCTGGCAAGACTGCGGGCACCGAGTCAACTGGCGGAACAGCGGGCACCGAGTCGTCTGGCAAGACTGCGGGCACCGAGTCGTCTGGCAAGACTGCGGGCACCGAGTCGTCTGGCAAGACTGCGGGCACCGAGTCGTCTGGCAAGACTGCGGGCACCGAATCATCTGGCAAGACTGCGGGCACCGAGTCGTCTGGCAAGACTGCGGGCATTGAGTCAACTGGCGGAACAGCGGGCATTGAGTCAACTGGCGGAACAGCGGGCATCGAGTCAACTGGCGGAACTGCGGGCACCGAGTCAACTGGCAAGACTGAGGGCATCGAGTCAACTGGCGGAACAGCGGGCACCGAGTCGTCTGGCAAGACTGCGGGCACCGAGTCGTCTGGCGGAACAGCGGGCACCGAGTCGTCTGGCAAGACTGCGGGCACCGAGTCGTCTGGCAAGACTGCGGGCACCGAGTCGTCTGGCAAGACTGCGGGCACCGAGTCGACTGGCAAGACTGCGGGCACCGAATCGACTGGCGGAACAGCGGGCACCGAATCGACTGGCGGAACAGCGGGCACCGAGTCGTCTGGCAAGACAGTGGGCTCCGAGTCAACAGGCACGACAGTGGGCACCGGGTCATCAGGTATCGGATTGTCTGGCTCGACAGCGGGCATCGGGTCACCAGGTATGAGAGCGGGCACTGGGTCACCAGGCATCAGGTCATTTGGCTTGCCAGCGGGCACTGCGTCATCTGGCAAGGCAGTGGGCACCGGGTCACCAGGTATGACAGCGGGCTCTGAGTCAATTGGCACGACAGCGGGCACTGGATCAGGTACCGGATCATCTGGATCAACAGCGGGCATCGAGTCAACTGGCCTAATAGGATCGTCGGGCTGGATCAGTTCATCATGCTGAGTAGCGGCATCAGGCTGAATGCAGGCATCAGGCTGAGTAGAGGCTTCAGGCTGAGGAGAGGCTTCAGGCTGAGGAGAGGCATCCGGCTGAAGAGAGGCATCCGGCTGAAGAGAGGCATCCGGCTGAAGAGAGGCATCCGGCTGAGTAGAGGCTTCGGCTGAGGCTTCAGGCTGAGTAGAGGCTTCAGGCTGAGTAGAGGCTTCAGGCTGAGTCACGGAAGGCAGGTTCACCGGTTTGGATACTGGCAGGATGGTATTGGTTGGAAAGAATTTTCGCTTTTTCTGGTTTTAACTACTGGAGCACTGCAAGTAAACGCAGGTCTGCAAACGAATGGAGCAGCTGGAGACAGAGAAAAACTGGAGGATGGAACAGGAGAGGGAGCAGTTGCTACAGAGGGCTTTTTTACAGGGTTAAAGGCAGGATAGGTGCAGCGAGTGGGAACAGGGTACTGACATGCGGTAGATAGCCAAGTATACTGGGCTGTAACTGGAGGAGCTGGTGGGAATACAGGAGTAGAGTTAGAAGCAGGACTGGGTTTTTGTAAGCTGACTGAGGCTGGGTGCAACAAGTCTGTCCATGTCTGCAGCATGGGTTGAACAAAGCTGAGCTTACACAAAGCCTGTCTGGTCAATGACTGCACTGCGTTTATACAATCTCTTAGTGTCTGTGGTGAAGAACATGTGGAATAACGCTCCAGAAAGTAACCCACATCATCCTCTAATAACCACACCAGGGACTCTACCTGGTCTGCACTAAATGGTGGCAAAAATTCATCCCTGCATTCGGGGGAACCAGATGAAACCAACTCAGCACAAACCTCAATCAAAGGCTGCACCTCAGAGAACTCTGTGCCCTGATCTACTAGAACATGAGCGAGCCGTATACATTCTAGTAGTTGATCCCTGGGATACTCCTTCAGAGTTTGATAAGCATACTCCCTGTCATCAAACACCAGCAGATATAAATACACAACCTCATCCAGATCCATCCTTCCCAGCAACAAGCCAAGATGGCTTCCCTGTGCAGCCACTTCTGGTCAGGATTGGCCTTGGTGTAATGTCAGGGCTCCCAGGTGTGACCAGAGGTGTGTGGCTGACGCAGGGAAACGCAGTCCTCAGATATGTTATAAACAATATAATTTATTAACACTAACAATACAAACATAAACGCAGTGCAATACTAAAACATAATACAGTGCAACCAAACCAAACCAAACCAACCACCCACAGATAACAGTACATACAAGCAAGCGGAGATTGGTCGGGGTCACAGGCCAGGTTCAGCAGGTAGCAAGCAGCGTAGTACAGAGGGTAAGGCAGAGGGATGGTCAGGGTCACAAGCCAGGGATCAGAACAGGTAGCAAGCAGCGTAGTACAGAGGGTCAGGCAGAGGGATGGTCAGGGTCACAAGCCAGGGATCAGAACAGGTAGCAAGCAGCGTAGTACAGAGGGTCAGGCAGAGGGATGGTCAGACAAGCCAGGGATCAGAGCAGGGTCAGCAGAGAATCAGACAGGAACAGAGAGCAGGAACAGGATACAGGGCCCAAGAGAACACAACACCAAGGCAGAGTCTGCAAGTCTGGCCATCCCTTAAATACCCCAGCATAATCAGTTCCAGGTGTTAGCTGGCTGCAAAGTTGAGTCTCTGATTGCTGGGAGCACCCGCTGGCCAGCCCTGGTACTGCAGATCAAAAGGCAGGTGAGTCCCACCATTGCTGGCTAGTCCATTCCTGACAGTTACAATACACCTACCATTCAATTTTTAGACTGATCACTTCTTTGTGAGTGGGCAAACATTCAAAATCAGCAGGGGATCAAATACTTATTTCCTTCCCTGTATGTTCGAATAATTCAGGTGACTCCTTCATGCATGATGGTGGGGCTATGGAAGGAGTAGCTGTGGACAAGGAGCCTTGTGGAATAAGCTGCTTTGGCAGTTGCAGTTGAAGGCAAACTAATATAAGCCTGGGTGACAGAGGATGAGGAGGATGAAGATGGCTTAGTTATCCACTCCACCACCTCTTCTGCATGTTGTAGCTCAATAACATGGCCAGTATCGGAAAAAAAGGACACGCATACCCTGCCTGTAGACGATGCATCCTGTCCACAACCACCACTTTTTCACTGTGGAAACAGAGGCTGTCTGCCCTCTTTTAGCTGCCTGTGAGTGTCTGCCTCTCCTTTTTGGCCTTTCGGACATGATGGGGATTTTTTTTAACTTTTTATTTTAGAGTGTGTGGAATGGGAATTTGGTGCTTGGGTACAATAGTTTTGTGCTTGGTGCACTATAAACTGTTTTTTAATTGTTTTTTTAATAAAGAAAATAGGGGATACAGTAATCATGGAGAATTTTTTTCTGCTGCAAAAAAAAATTTAAATAAAATAAATATAAAAAAATTAAGCAAAAAAAAAAAAAAACCCACTGGTGACGCAGAAGGAAGAACACCCATGACTCAGAAGAAGGAACAGCAGTTATGGAGACATTTTTCTGCTGCTGGAAAAAAAGAATTCAGAAAGCTAAAAAAAAAAAGGGAAGCCACTGCTGATGCAGAAGGAGGAACACCTGTGATACAGAAGGGGAAACAGCAATTATGCCCTAAACACTTTTACAGCTGCTGCTGCAAGAAAAAAAAATTACATTTAAAAAAAATTAAGAAAGCAAAAAAAAAGGAAACCACTGCTGATGCAAAAGGAGGGACACCTGCAACACAGAAGGGGGGACACTAATAATGCATAAACAGAACTTGATACTGCAAAAAAATTTAAGGAAGCAGACAAAATTGGGAATAGCTGTGATGCAGAAGTGCTGTAAAACACACTGACACTTCACTGACACCACTACACTGCTCTTCACAACACCACCCTACACTAAACTACACTCCTAACACACCACTAACTACTTCACTAAACTCCAGCAACACTATACTCAAGGCTGCTGTGTAAGCAGCCTTATATAGTGTGGGGCATGGACTTAACTGTGAGCCATGACTGGCCAAAGTCACTGTGACTTTGGCCAATCATGGCTCTCACAGTGCATTGTGCTGTGATTGGCCAAAGCATTGCTGTGGTCAGGTGCATTGCTTTGGCCAATCACAATGCACTGTGAGAGGGCAGTGCATAGTGGGGCACGGCTGGCACACTGTACACCAAACGCCCTAGCTATTTTTGTGTTCCGCGAACACATGAACAGCTGTTCGAGACCAACTTACATTCAACTCGAACATAAAGCCCATCACCTTTTAAGAAACACACTCATGCATTTGTGTACATTTAACGTGTACTTTGTTGTGTGAATAATCCCTTAGAAATAAGGTGCACGTTAATTTTTATTATAGTGATTAATATTGTGTTTCTTTATAATATTTAACATTGTTGTAGGTTATCCAACATCCACCTGTGTTTCTGTGCTATATGTCTGCTTTTATTTTTACACCACTACTAATGCATAAGTTCAATCAGCTCCTGTCAACATTTCCTCTTTTTTTCTATGTATTCTCCAACAGGACATCCTTAAATTTATTTGTGGCCAATCTAAACAGACTGAACAAAGTATTGTCCAAAACTAAATGAAGGATTGGGAGTCCTGAATCTCTCTGGCAATTATGGAGTGGCCAACATAGTGCTCCGCATTCTCCAATGAGCCTAATATAAAAAAAACATTATTGGTGTCTTTAGATGAAGTGGACTTTTCATTATATATATTTTTCTACATTCTAATTTTTAGCTTGGGTTGATTAAAGTCCATCGGCTGTTGTTGCTTACAGTCCATGTAAGCATTTTTTACATCTTAAAAAGACAGCAAGAACTGTGTGCACTTTAAAAAAAACTTACATTACATCATTCACATTTACCACACCCCCCCATCTCCAAAGTTAAATGACTCCATACACCTGCTGGGTCTATTATCCATGATTAAAACCGTTCCGCTGCTGGCCAATTGTACATTGCTTTATCTTCTGTGGTATCTTCAATTTTTTTTTAATCAAAAACTCTTTATGCCATTACTAGTAGGTATATGAAAATAGTCAGTAAGAACAAGAAGCAAAATTAAATAAATATGTTAGGCCTGAGTTCATCTGCTGCTGGCACTGTGGTTCTCTGGGCTGATAGCTGCAGTTCCAGTGACCACCAGTGGTGCCTCCCAGCGGCCAGCAGGTTTCCTGCAATCAGTTCCATCTTGCCCCAGCTGCTGGGAGGTGCTTTTGTTTCTTATGTCAGTGTTTTGATTGCCTCCCTTGCTGCCAGACCTTATGCCTGTTTATCCTGCTACTGATCTAGCCTTGCATCCTGTACCCTGCTGCTTTATTTCTCTACTTCCCCTTGTTCTTGTACC